AATTCACACGTTGATCGATTGTAACTTTATGTACAGCGTGGGTCGTATGAATTTTCAATAAAAATTTCTTAGAATGTGTAGTGTATAGCAGAAACATATGGGCTGTAGCAGAACTTTGGAAGAAATGCGCAACGCATCTCTGCGCAGCTCGTCTGCCATAAAGTCAACTAACGTTTTACAGACTTTTCACTAATGATTCGTAAACGTTTACTAAAGTTGCGCACACTCGTATAGTATTTGATAAATTCTTTACCTTTAAAGAATTCAGTTAAAAATATTTGAAAGTTTAAATGACATTTAATAAATATTAAGTACCTTTCAAACATCTATTCCTAATAGTTTAACAATAAATCAAAAATAACTGCTGAATTCCAAAAATTCTATGACTTTTTTTTAATATTTCAACGATGTTTTTAAGTTATTGAAGAAAGTTAACTAAAATTCTACGGAAAAATTGTCCCGTCTCAAAGTGACAGACTAGTCTCTTAATGATTGACGAACTTATTTTTTCCGTGTACAGAAAAGAATGGGAAAAGGAGAATCAATTTAAAGGTTATTTTCTTACACTCTTATAAAGTCTAAATATTTTATTTACACTAATTTTTTGTAAAAAATTTGTGTGATTCTGTTTTATTTTATTTTTTTTTATATATTTAATAAATTTGACTATTCTTGATTACTTTCTTTTATTTATCGCACGTTCTTGTCGTTTAGATTGGTTAAAACCATGTCAAGGTTTTAAGACACTCGAGAGCGCTGTGAAGTTACTGTCATGTTGACATGGCAGCTCACAGGAAAGAACTTGAGGAACATGTGTCAACAGAAAAAAAAATTTTAAACATTTTGTCACCTTACTTTTGGATTAATTAATTGCTGACGTAGGAGGTTCTCACTTCTCATTGATAATTGATGAAAGTACTACATTGGATACGAAAAAATCGTGTGTTATTCGTTATTTATAACTCGGTGTCATCTAAATTAAAGGATTTAATCTCTCATCTTATCCCAGTCAAGCGTCTTTATCATTCTCTTCCTAAGTCAGCAGAAAAAGCTTGTGATGTTCTGCTGAAAATATCGATTAATTAATCTGAGTTACATAAAATTATTGCAGACTCTGATCCAAAAAAAAACCGCCAAATTGTCTGGAACTCGGTGTTCGCACGATGAAGTGCAATTGAAACGATTTTGGATCAATGGGGTGTATTAGAACTACATTTTAATAGGTCTAAATTCAATGACCGTGCAAATGCTGGTCTCAAAGCCGAACTGTTGTATCAGATGTATCTCTGCGTCGAGAATAAAGTATATGTCCTGATTTTGTGTGACTCGTTAAAGGGAGTTATTTAGTTTAAATAAACTCTTCCAATCAGATTCAGTTGAATCTTTAAAACTTCTGCGAGACTTGAACGATCTTCTTTATATGAATTTACAGAGATTAGTAGTTCCCCAACGTTTGGAAAGAGTACCTAAGCAAAATGTATGCACCTTTAATTTTAAAGATCTCATAATACCAGTCGATTCTATTTATTACGGTTATTATTTCAACGAATTGAGCAGTAAATTCTATCCATAAAATTTGCTTGTTATTAAGCAGCGATTTCAGCATATTTCAAAACTAGCCCTTGCCCTTTTTCAAATGCAATTGTAGAAAGAGCTTTTTCTGTAGTTAACATTATAATGACAAATTAAGAAATAGAATGTCAATACAGTCGAATCTCCCATAAGTTAATTCTGGTGGGGGATTAACTTATGAGAGAATTGCCGCGTAAGGAGAAATAGTTGCGCAGTGACCTATTGCGCATGGCGGTCAATTTCAAAATATATGTTTGAAGTCTTGTAAAGTAAATGAGTTATTAGAAATGTTTGAATATTTAATTTAATATAAGTTTAGTTGACTGTGAAAAACATTGTCGGTACATACTTGTATTATTCTTTTAACTACTTTTATTAATTTTATAAATCATGGACGGAATTTTATTCATGACAAAAAAAAATAATTTTTGAGTTAATTGGAAATATTATTAAGGAATTAATATTCGTAAATGATGCAGCTACATCATGAAACAATTATTTAATAATTAAATTAAATTAAAAAAAAACAAAATTCAATTAAATTAAAAGAAAATTCTTTTAAACATGAATCGAATGTTTTTATTCTAGGTAGTGGTACAAGATGTTAATAACACGTTTTAGAAGAACATTGTTAAACATCGTAGACATACATGTTAACTTAAGAACTAAAAATAACATAAATTGAAATCAATTTTTATTGTAATTATAATTCAAATAAACTGTATTTTTAAATTCAAATAACGAAAATATATATTTTAACTTCCTATTTAAAAATAAAATAGAATATTGAGATTTTTTGAATTAGTATTTTTTTTAAATTAAAAATCTTTTTTGACAGTTTGTCAAATTCAACATATTTGTGTACATTAAAAGTAGTCAGTCTCGTGGAGTCTTAAAAGTACATAAAACTTTAATTTTTAACAAGTTATCTTATTGTTTTTAATTTTATAAAAACCTTGATTTTTTATTTTGAGGTTCTAGAATAAGATCACAGTTATTGTTGAGATCAGGACTATCACAATGCTCCTTCTGTAATTCTTTTAAAGAAATATCCTCCCATTTATGAAAAAAATTTTAAATTAGTATTAAGGTATTAGTCGCGTAAAATCATTTTCGTCAGATATTTTTTAAATTTTGCATGAGTGTTTCTGACATAATTATCTACAAAATAAGACCAATCCCATCGATTTTGACCGTTCCTAAGCTTTAAAATATCATTTCAAAGTTGATACTTTTTACATGGACGGAGCACCTAATGCATGTAAGGAATTTGCTTTATAATTATTTAAATGAAAACCAGTCGTCAGATTTTAAAATAAAACTACCACATAATACATTCTCATGAAACGAATGCCTACAAAAAAACTGAAATTTTTTGACCGTACCAAACTATAAATATGTTAGGAGAAAGTTAACAAAATTTTAAATTATATGAAGTTCCACTGCTGGAAAGCAGTAAACTTGGCAACGCTGTAGCGCGCGAATGCATACAAAATTCAAAATCATGCAAAGTACACAGTTAGAAAGTAGGAATATCTCATAGAGTAGAATAAAAAAATAATATATTTAAAATTTCACAACATAGATTAGTATTAAGTAATTCTCAATTTTTTAAATTAAATCATATATTTTAAGAAAAATAAGAATGAGAAACGTTAAATTGGTTGGTTATATTTCAACAGTTAAGAAATAAAAACATTTTTTGATGAAATATTTATTTTTTACTTTATAAACCAATTTATAATACATTATTGATGTAAATATTAATTATAAATAATTAAAAATTAGTTTTCAAAGAAGCATACTTGAATTTTTTTTAATAATATTCACATCTTTAATTATTAATTATTCTTAGTAAGTCTCATACTTTTAAAAAGTTTAAGCATTTATATACATAATTATTAATCATAAATAATTCAAAAATAGCTTTTAAAGAAGCATATTTGAATTTTTTTTAATAATATTCAGATTGCGACGTTGCCGCGATCAAAACTTTAGTTCTACACGTGCGAGAACGCGGCGCTCTGAGTGGAAGTTACCTGTACCCTTCAAAAAGTTTGACTCAGAACTATAGCTCTTGCTAAGCACAGACTGAGTCAGACTCAAGACAAACTTTTGGTTAGAGCCGGCGCGCGACTAATACCTTAAACTAAGTCACAGATGTTCATAGAACACGTTTGTAGACGAGGTTATGTTTATTTATGTGTCAGACATCTTGGCACCACTATGCGCATGTGTAATGACTAAAGTTTTTTTAGGTAGAGGGGGTACGTGATAGGGGAAAATTAACTTATGGGAAGTTAACTTATGGGAGATTCGACTGTAGTTGAATCTAAAAAAACACATTTTTCGAGGTGTGACGTCACTTATATTCTCTAGTAGGAAAATCAACTAGTTCAAATATAATAAATAATATACCGTTGGAAACGTAATTAAATTATCTTTCGAACTGTCGGTCGTAAAATAAAATCCAATAAAAATTGACAGACTTATAGTTGATCAAAATTCATGTTTCATGCAAATTTTGATGATTTTTAGATACTTGTCTAACTTCTGTTAATTTTTCTAATCCAAACAATAAAAAAATTTCATGTTTAAAATTTTTTATCGATAGTTTATTTAATTACGAAAATTTTGAGCCCAATTAGAGCACAATCGGATAAATAATAAAAATTCTACACTAGATTTAGTAAACTAAACATGAAAATTTAAATATTTTTTATTATTATGTGACAACGGTCCACAAATTTATTCTACTTTGTAAAAAAATTTTATGTGCAATAAATCAATACCAATTTCGTAATTGTAGAAATAAAAAAGAAAATACATTTGCAGTGAGATTTGCAGCAAAAATGCAAACTGCAAAATAATGAGCCCAAGAACACTATATACAATAACTCCCCTTTATTCTGCCCCAAAAGAATCTTTGTAATGACATGAATTTTGTGTAGTTACAGTTTGACATATTTTAACCAACAATAGCTCAATTTGTTTGTAAAGGAATACACTTTCACAACGTTAAGTTAGTTTTTACGTTAAACTATGATTTCCAATACTTAGGTACTTTGATTTTAAAATCGGAAAAATATTCGAATTAAGGTTTAACATCAAAATTACATCAATGCATTTTATTAACACCATTTATATCATTGTAGCTAGATGGCACCACCTGGTTTAAAAAATTTTGCGAACTCACCGTTCTTCCCCGCTTTCTATTGTGTCCCATGTTTCCCTACCAATGGGAGGAGAGTGTGTGGGGGTCATAAAAGACATCACTTGGGGGGATAGGGGGTCGAAAATCGTTTGAAAACCTATCATGTGATTTATGGACGACCTTATATTATCTTATTGGTATTATTTAAAAACTAGAGTTAACTATAGTTTTTGAGTTTCTCATATGTTTAAAGCTTTATTTAAATATTTTACAGCTTCTGATTTGGACTGCATAAGAGCTCTTTTCAATGAAAAGGAAAAAGAATTATCACTAGCTGTAGCTAAAGTCGAGGAGTTAACTCGTCAACTGGAAGAACTTCGTGGACGCCATAGTCTTAATGGCAACAATATTGGTGTACATTTACCTACCTCCGCCAGTACTGAATTGGAGAAATTACGGAGGGAGTTATTGGTAATTATTAATTATAATTAGTTAAATAATTATTTAACTCTATTATTTTTGGTGCTATTAATCATTATTATTAATATGGGATGGTAAGGGACACAAAAATAGTTCGATAATTTTCACCAAAAAAATTGTTGTAAAGTTTGTTAAATTCTGAGTAAATTAAGCCATATTTCAAATCATTTATAGTTAATTATTTTCTGAGTTGTAAAGTGAGAAGAAAACAAAAAAATAAAACTTACTCATTTTAATCTCTTGATTTCCACTGTTCGAAAAATCTAGGAAAATTTAGTTAAATTAATTTTAAAAACGTAGAGATCTGTGTTGAAGCATTAGCTTTACAGATTTTTTAATGCTGAATACGAATCCGAAATCAAAATTACTCCATCACCCTAAGTTTTCGAGAAATTTGAGCTTGAAAATTGAAAAAATGCCCTTTTTAAAGTACTTTTTGATTTTTTATAACGATACAAAACTTTGTTTTTAAGTTTTTGTGATATACATTTGCAAGCTCATATCTTCCTGACCAATTTGAAATTTAGAACTTTTAAAAACATTTATTTTTATACGAGATATCCTTGTTTAAAGTTTGCGTTTAAAAAAAATTGATAGGTTTCGTTAAAACTTGTCTCTCGGGGATTTCCGGGGTCAGTAACACAGGTGTACAATGTTTTTTTTTAGATACCACAGTGGTTGCCAATGTATTTTTGTGTGTTGAACACGATCACGTCTTCCAAAATTTGTTTATCACGTCAAAATATTGAAAAAAGTGTGGATAAATACCCCAAAAAACTTGATCGTGTTTAGCACACAAAAATGCATTGGAAACCACTGTGGTATCTAAAAAAACATTGTACACCTGTGTTACTGATCCTGCAAACTTCAAACAAGGATGTCTCGTACAAAAATAAATGTTTTTAAAAGTTCTAAATTGCAAATTGTTCAGGAAGATATAAGCTTTCAAATGCATATCACAAAAACTTCAAAACAAAGTTTTGTACCGTTATAAAAAATCAAAAAGTACTCTAAAAAGGGCATTTTTTCAATCTTCAAGGTCAAATTTCTCGAAAACTTAGGGTGATGGAGCAATTCTGATTTCGGATTCGTGTTCAGCGTCAAAAAACCTGTAAGAATCACTATATGCGATCCCAGAAATAAAAATGCTTTTGCACTGTGTTATTATTGGAAATGTGAAGACCGGCAACAAATCTGAAATATAATAAGATTCACCTTATTTTACATTTGTCTACAATGGTGAAATATTTTAATTCTATTTAATACCTGAATTTCTCTCTTTTACTAGCTTTGCGAAATTTAACAGAATGTTAAATGAAATTAATTCCATTAAAATCTAAAATGTGTTTCCCATTCAATGTAGCAAAAAATATAGTAAATGTTTCCAAATTCAAAATTCATTGTGAATTATCAAAATTACAAAAAAAAATTTTTTGACTATTTTCAAAATTAAATTTTTTGAAAATATTAAAATGTTTAAAAATTCATACGATTGATTGTTCAGAATCATGAAAAAAGCCTACAAAAAAATTACCAATAAAAAATAAAAATTATAGAAGAAGTTGAATTTTTAAGGAATAATTGATCAAATTGAAACCAAACGGAGAGAAATATATGGTAAGATCTTATTATCTTAAGATGGTTAAAAGTAGATGTTAGCCGGTACCATCAAAGATGTTACAAAAAATATGGTTATGTTACCCACTATAATCAAGATGTTACTCCGTACAATCTGGATAGTAACTGATAGAATCTAGATAGCTGTCCGTATATGTTAGTTCAAATATGGTACCTGGTACTATCTAGATAGTACCCCGTACCATCTATTTTTCTCCGTGTGGTTTGGTTTAGGGGTAAAAATTTTTTTTTACAAATTTTTTTAGAACCTGAAATCATATTTCACTATGAAAAATGAAAAAAAGTTATTTCTAACAAATTTTGCATTTTATTTTATTTTTCTAAATCCATACGATTGATTGTTAAGAATCTTAAAAAAAATGTATAAAAAAATCAGCAATGAAAAATAATAAAAATTGTGACAGAAGTTTAAATTTTTAGTTTTTGAAAATTTCGAGTTTTATTTTAAAAATTATTAATAAATTAATTGTTTATCATTTTAAAAGGTTAAAATTTCAGCGGTCCCTCCCCTTAATGCAAGGAATAAAATTATGTCATATATACACTTGAATTTTAAAAAACCCAAAATTTTGAAGCTAAAATGTGAATTTTTGATTTTTTAACTTTCATTAATTCTTCAAATTTGAATCAAAATTTATACTTTATATATACTAATCGATTCGTCTTGACGTAAGGAATACGATCTTATTATATATCACCTTAAATTTTGCTATTTAAAAATTTTTCGATTAAAAAAAATTTTTGGAAAAAAGACGATAAAAATTTTTTTGGGGATATTTTTTAAAATCCTTTCGTCCATTTTGAGATATTAATGTGATAAATAAGCCTATTAAATTTTACCCAAATCCATTAAAACCTGTTAAAGTTATCGTGTTCACAAAAAAGGGGTCCACACATACATACACACACACACACATACATATATCCGGACAATTGATCAGGATCTTATATAACATGTTTCTATATAGAGAAAAATTTGTTTTCGCCATTTTGAAAATTTTTATAAACAAAAGGAGGAAGCAAAATTATTAATATTTTGAAAATTACGATAATGAAGTATACGACTTTATCAGGAAAGTGACATCTATTAGATGTCAATGAACTCCTTGGTTTAGAGGTACTTTGTTGTTTGATATCACTTTGCTGATAAAGTCGTAGACTTCATTATCGTAATTTTCAAAAATCTTAATCAGCGAAAAAATATAGTATATCTATATAAATATATCTAACATTATTAATATTTTATAAAACTTGTTATCTAAAGGTTTTCGGGGTCGTTGATTATTAATCTAATGTCAAAATTTCGAAATTGAAAATGGCGGATATAAAAATTTAAAAAAATAACTTTTTAAATTTTTGACCGCCATGTTAGATCCGCCATTTTGAATTTTTAAAATCTGACATCAGATTAATAATCAGCGACCCCGAAAAACCCCAGATACCAAGCTTTATAAAATATTAATAATTTTGATTCCTCTCCTCACGAGGAAGCTTTGTATTCGTGACGATTTTTGATTTTTTAAAAATGGGTTATATGGGCTTATTTTTATCTAGAATGCATATATTTGAAGTTTTAAACAAATTTCCGGATGTATGTGTGTGTGTGTATGTCACAAAATCTTGTGTACAAATTATCTCTAATACACTTCGATAAATTGTCGTGAAATTTTATAGGCTTATTACAGTCATCAATAGCTAAGATCAGACACAAGGATTTCCAAAAATATCCACATAATTTTTTTATGTCCAGGAATTTGGCAACGCCATTTTGTTTCTTCAAAAAAATAAAAGTTGTGTTGAATTGTGCTAGGTTTGTGCTCAACTGTGCCGAAAAAAATTTTTCGAAAAAAAAATTTTTTTTTCACGAAAACGCCATTTTGTAATTTTGTAATCAGCTACCCCAAAAACCCCCGAGTAACAACTTTCAAACAAATCCGATAAATTTTTTTTTCGACGTCCGCCATTTTTGATCCGCCATTTTGAATTTTTTAAAGCGATTTTTCATAGTCATCAAAAGGTGGTCGATATATCGACCACTGGTACTGAAAGGGTTAATCTTGAATATAAGTGTATCATGATGAGGAAGCTAAATGGTCATGAATTGAACACATTGTTTAAATGATATCTTGTCACTTTTCATTTAGGGGTTGTTTTCACCCCTAAAAACCACAAACGACTTAATCTAGCAAAACGGCCAGACAGGAGTATTTTTTTGGTCTTAGTTTCCAAAAATGTTGTATTTTTTTATGGTAGGTTTCAGGCTTTACATTAAATTTAAATTTTTTGTAGAAAATTTGGAACTTTCAAATTTAATTTTGAATATTTAACCTGTTTTTTAGTATCGTAACAAGATGAATGAACAACAGAATCAAGTAGTGTCTCAGCAGAGATTGGCTTTAGCTCAGAAACAAGCAGAAATGGCATCAATTGATGCAAGAATCGCTCAGCTACAAGGTCGACTTCAACGAAAAAGAGCTTTAAATCAACGATTGAGCCAACAACTTGGATCAATAAATTTATCAACTTCAAATCAAACGTATCTTGATTCGAAAGTTGATTTTTCTAATGGCGGAAAATCTCGACCTATTGGTAATATTGCTGCGATTGAGCCTTATTCTCATATTCCGAATGACGATTTCACTTTAAACAAAAACGATCCAAAGTATCAAACACTGCCATACAACACCAAATTCACTGTTAATTTTAAAAATTCAGAGGATGATTGTAATATTAACAAAATTCAACACAGCGCAAGTGCTTCGCAAATTGGACAAAGATCAACATTTTATCAATCAGGTCATCAGATTGTTCATAGTCAATCCCAGTCTCATATTCAAGGTAAGCATATATAGAATTTAATTTAATCATTTTCTTTATTAAATTACAGATCTAAAATTAAAAATATCTGTCAATTTCAATAAATTGGTGAATTTCGTAGAATGAAGGGCTCCAATCCCTTGAATTTTTTTACTTGTCTTTTTAACGACTGTAAAACTCTAACCATATTATATACCGTATTCAGTGGTATATTCCTTGAAACTTTATATTATTAGCTGATTTTTAGCAAGAATTTTTTTATGTTACTAATAAAATTAAAATTTAAGCTAGTTTAAAAAAAAGATGAAATTACGATTTTTGAAAAAGTGTCCTCAAGGTGGACACCATCTAAATATTTACTGAAAAGTTGAGAAACTGAAACACAATTTACAGAACGTGAATTTAAAAATGATTGATTTTGGCTTGTAATAAAAAAAATGTTACTTCAAAATGAAATATTAAATTATTACTTTCAAATGTAGTGGAGTGTCCCTGGTTATACAGCAGGTTTCGTTTTTTATCCATAAATTTTAATCGGATCATCCAATTTTGATTGTTGAGGTTCCATTTTAAAGCTAGTGTAAATACCTAACTTTTGCTTACGAAACTATATTTTTTTTATTTTAAAACACTTGAATTATAAAAGAATTTCAAAAGGTAGTATTTTCGGACCAAATAAAATTTGACCCCGGATGTACAGCACTTCCAAAAATTACTTAAAAATGTAAAAAAATACAAATATAAAAGTAAATTTCTATATTATTTAATTATTATAAAAGCCTTTAACATTTACAGATTTTATAAATATTTATATATATTAAGTATATTTTATAAGTGTTTAACATTATTATAGATCTTTAAAGGCACATAAAATTGGACATGAAATTCTCTATATTGACGTTATTTAATAATTTGATTAATCCAAGTCTGAATCGCAGTGAATGCATTTATAGAAGCTAACACGCATTTAAAATTACTTAAATATAAAAATAAATTCGATATTCCATCATAAAACTACAAAAAAAAATATTTTTTGGGGTGCTGCATAAGCGGAGAAAAAAGTGCTGCATAACCGGGTCTGGGACAATTTTGCAAATGACCTCATAATTTTTTCGATTCAATTATTTTACAAAAATTCCTTTTGCATCATAAAGTTGAGTTTCTACATGCTGTAAATATTTTTCAAGCTCGTTAGTTTTGCTTGATAAATAAGTAAAAAAATCAGTTCGTTACAAAACGGAAAAAATCATTGCAACGTTTTTTTCACATAGTACTCACAAAAGGTTAAATAATATTTGGCGGATCGGTGTTTGCTCAAAAACATCCTTATAACGTTGCCAAAAGTTAATAAGTTTCATATCAATAGATAAAGAAATATGAACAAAATGACAAGTGCTGCACAACCGGGGCTGCTGCATAACAGGCGCTCCCCTACTGGAAAATAAGAATTCAATGTAAATTAACTAACAAATCAACACCTTCAGGCCAACCTCACCGATTTCGCCGTAATTTTTATCCCAGAAAAAAAACTAATTAAAATGTATTGACTTTTGGTTGAATTCTTCTGAATCCTGCTTACTGATTTGTCACGACGAATTGAAATGAATTCCCAATGGGAAAAATACCATTGGCGTATTAATGGCCCAATAATGGGAGCCAGGGATGCCAATATAATTTCAATACTGGCACCCAATAATGGACCATTATTGGTACAGTCATGGGCCGTTCACGCCAATTGAATTAAAATAAAAAAATGGTCATCACAGTATTAGTGAAATATTTCAACGAGAAAAAAATTTTAGTTCACTTATATACAAATGTAGTGGCACCTTAACTGCGAGAAAGAGTGATGTTCGCCCTCCCTTTGCGGCGTTTAGCGAACTAAAGTGATCAAACTCACGAATTCAAACGAATTGACTAACGCTTTTATTGAATTCGTGCAGACGAATTAGAAAGAATTAAAGCTTAGAAAACTACTTCACTGAAATCGAACGAATTGAGGGTCAATCCTTTTTCGTTTACTGGGATTAGTATAAAAAAATCAAATATTTGGGTGAAATAAATAAAATAATTATTTTAAATAATTTATTATTTGTGTTAAATAAATTAATTTATTCGATTCATTTAATTATTTACTTGAACCAAATACGATTTATTTTATTTACATAAGTGTGATTCAAGTAATTCAAGTTATTATTTTGGATCTAAATAAATAGTATATTACGATACTAGGGCAGAAAGTTGGATTTCCTGGCATCTTAAAATAAGAGATTTTTTTGGTTTGTAACCTTTGGCATTTGTTTTAATAATACGGCTAAACTGCAGAATAGGTACGTAAAGAAAGAAGTAGTCTTTACTACGTGACAGATAGTGCTGCCAACTATATAAAAATTAACGCGCGAAATTTAAATTCTCTCAAATATTTACTTTTTAATAAGTTCACTCCTTTTCTATTATAATAACTTTTATGCTCATACTTGGCTTTGTCTGCAGAATATTTTTGGCCATATCCGACCTCCCCCCACTCCAAGGTTTCTTTAAAATATGCAAACTGGCGGAACCTGACGCGTCCGAAAGCGGTGTACACAGTGTCACGTAAACCGCTGTTGCGGCTTCCACCCTACTTTGTCCACAGAATACTTTCTGCAATTTAGACCCCCCACTCCAAGGTTTTCTTAAAATACACAGAAAAAAATAGTTCGTGAAACTTTCGTAAACTAGTTCTTCACTTTTGGACGGGCCCAAAGTTTGAAATCTTTCATTAACTTTTTTCAAAATTCCAGAAACTTTTTTTTGTGCGCGTGCGCAGACATTGATTGTTATGAAGAGAGTGGTGAACGTTCGTGAAATCTTGGACAAACTTTTTCTTGGAAAAGATTTCCAAACTTTGGGGCCGTCCAAAAGTTAAAAACTAGTTTACGAAAGTTTCACGAACTATTTTTTTCCGTGTATGCAAACGAAAAGTTTTTCTGCAGACAAAGCAGGGTGGAAGCCGCAATAGCGTGATACGGAATAGTGTACGTAGCCTTTGGCCGCGTAAGGGTCCTCTCGTTTGCATATCTTACGAAAACATTAGGGTCGGATATGGCTAAAAGTATTCTGTGGACAAAGTCGGGTGGGGGCCGCTGCTTAAATATTGAATTGGAATTTTTATTTAATATTATTTATGTATATGAGGGATTTTTCTTCAATCGCCCAAGTCTAAAAAGTGAAAGTTCCGGAATTGGCTTGATACTTTGGTTTTTAATAACATTGTAATTTTCAAATCCGTATAACTATGACAAAAGTCAATGGATTTTAATTTATGTATAATGAATTTTAAAGCCTTTTTACGTACTTTTCAATAATGTACACGAAATTTAAGAAAAAAAATTTTTTTACCTCTTGTTTCAAAATCAACCCTTATTTTTCAAAATTTAGTTTGTATAAGGATCTTTGGGATCGCTGAAAACGAATCTGAAATCAAATTTTCAAAATTCAAAATGGCGGACATAAATTATAATTTTTTTCGGATTTTTATAAAACTGGGTATATAAATTTTTTTAGGGTAGCTGATATCGAATCTGATGTCAAATTTTCAAAAACACTATTTTTGACTATTTTCGACCCCCCCCCCTCCCCATGTCATACTTTTTGCATACATTAGCGCCATTTTTACTGCTGCTTGTTACAAATAACTTGACCCCCCTCCCCCTTAAGGTGTGACGTAATTTATGGACAATCCCATAGGACGTAAAATGAAAGGGGGCGGTTTAGATTCTGCACATTCGGATTGTATACAGGGGAACTGTATGCGACTAATCCTACACAGTGGGACTGTATACAATCTATTTTACTGAAATAATTCTTCGAAACTCTATGCAGTTGAACTGTATACAGTTGAATCCTATGCACTTGAATTATTTTTTTCACATTTAATTCTATACTGTAGAACTCTATACAAAATTAACTTGATGAAATTTGTAATATTAAACTCTAAACTGTAAAGGTTAGATACAGTAAAGCTCAATACAGTGAAATTATATTTTATTTATTAAATTGTATACATTTTAACTCTACACAATAAAAAAAAATAATTCACCGTAACGTTCCAATTCGGTTTTTTCGCCAAAACGAATTTAGCTTAAGTTACCACCAATTCTTTTCGCTTACTCTCAATTTTTTTACTAGGAATATAAAAAAACTAAATGGAAGGAAGTATTTTTTTATATGTGTGTATCTTAGGACTATCACAAGTTTTCTTAGAAGCCGTTCCACTGCTGTGAGGAGAAGTGCTATACCGCGGCTACTCTACCGGCCTGGGCCTATTTTAGGATTTCGCGTAAGGCAAACATTGCGGTAGGGGGTCGTCCATAAATTACGTAAGACTTTCTTCTGGTCATTTGAACCCCCTCCCCCCCTATGTAAGATTTTTTACATGCATTAGCGCCATTTTTCCTATTGGTCGTAAGAAATACTTGACCCCCCCTCCCCCCTAAAAGTCTTACGTAATTTATGGACGGCCCCTAGGTCTGAGTGGCGTTATCGGGCATAGCCATTGGTAAGGCTGCTCGTACAAGAAAAGATGGAACAGTGTGCAGGATATGATTCAAATGAATTAGAAAAATCGCTATTTTCTTTTCTATCCCATTTGAAACTTATCCTGCACACTGCTCCGTCTTTTCTTGTGTTTTAAACGACACTTACCTTGATTTGATCCTGAGTTAAGTGTCGAAGCTTTTCTCAACGATAATGTCGTTGATGCAACATCTTTCGCTGTGATAAAGTTGGAATCAGCAGTAGTGAATTCGTTTCGAACAAAATGTTCTAATGTACCACTTCTGGTACCTAAACGATGAAGGCCATCGGAAATAACTTCTTCGACTACTACTAGCACGCTGCGAGCTGCAACTTTTGCTGCTGCTCCTCCTGTATTTATAATTTTTTTTTTCTACTGCACACATTGCACATAAGTTTGTCCTCGTCGTTATGTATATCAACACTGAAATTATTGTGGACTTCAAGTCCACAAATGTGACAAT